AAAGATGCAACCTAGCTACGTTTCCAAGAATGCTGTTGCTGTTTTGAGCTGACAGGACTTTCTTCATTCCTCTATCTACAAATACTCAAGTTGGTTTTTGAAGCCACTACAGTCACCACATGGACTTGGTACTGGACTCTGATTCCAGACAGTTTTCTGACCAATACAGTCCAAGAGTTATATTTGGGATTGGCTCAAACTTTGCTTTAAATCTTCCCTATGAAGAAACTCCACTAAGTTATAATTTTGGATTTATGGTGCATTTGAGATTAGTGGTCATGAGCAATACGACATTTCTTTACCACAGTGAGAACAACCACAAGGTAACAATCTGTGTTTTTTTGCTGCACAGGAGCTACACGAGCCAGGAAACACTGGCAACTGTGACTGAGAGGGCACAAGATATTTGTAATGGCTTTAATGAGGGCTACAAGGGATAAACTTCATTAAGCACTTGTCACAGCACTTGCTGTCTGAACCAATACTGCTGTTTGATATCTCCGTTAACATGTTTTGGCATTTTAATGCTAACGTGCATATCCATCTTCATACATATTTTTTCCTCTTTCCTTGTGTCAAAATAGCAATTAATTTCCAGCCTACCACTGACAACAAGACAAAGTTCAAGCAGTGTTTCATAAACGCCCAGAAATGCTGAGTAGTTAAGTTGAAGTGTTAGTGCTTGACATTGATTTATATCTGCTTCATGCAAAACCTGCCATTTTCTCATTAAAAATTGAGCTTTACTGGTTGCATGCTATTTTCTCTCTGAGTACTGCTTTGTTACTTTGCATGAATTGGTTTGCCATGAATATGTCACACTGGGATTTCAGATACTGAGTTCTTTTCAGAATGAGTTGAGAAGAGCAGAAGGGGGAGGCTTTATAAAGGAAAAAGAAAATACAAATACTGTTGCCAGGTCACTGATAAAAGAAATTTTCTGTGTATTAAGCAACTTAATTTTCCAGATTCTTATGTACCTTTGATATTCTTCCATACCTGATGTGCATTAGGTGATACAATTAACATCATTCTTCTTCCATACATTCCCCATAAGATGATAAAATTTGTCTTGATGAAGAGTATCTTCTGCCTCTGGCTCTTGGCCTTGAAGAAGACACATGTAAGTTGCTTTATTAGAAGTCCTGGTATCTTCCAACCTTAAAAAAATATCCATGTTTCTTTTCTTCCTCTCTAATCTTCTTACTAGCTCTTTACCTCTAGTTATGAAAGTTCAACCAACTCTATGAGCTGAACAACCGACACTACTTGAATTCAGTCTCTCTGCTGCCATTGAGCCGAACATCCTTTGACTAATTTCTTTACGTATCCCTTTCTAAGGAAATAAAGCAAGTATTCTCCTTGCATTTCAATAACTTTAAAATCTCAGCTGCTAAAGTGCTGTGCTAGAGCTCAGTTCCTTTGCCATGGGGAGTTTAGTTATTGCTTTGAATGGAAGAAGAATAAGAACATGTCTGGAGGCAGGACAAACATTATTAGGAAGGCATCTAGCATAGAAGAAATATGCAAAACCATTTGGCATATCTCCATTTATTTAATGAAAACAAAATCAGTTTCTGAGAATTGGAAAGCATGTGATCTTATCCCTCAACAATGATTCCATAACAGCTGTGTGTGGCTCTGCTTTCTCAGTTATAATTATTGTTTCACCCTATTTTAGGTGGTATGTTGAGAAATCAATTCAAAACTTACCTGGAGTTTTGTTTAGGGATTGAAGGGTAAAACCAGGTCTAGCAGTAAAGGATGGAAGTTTGTTACTGAAAAAACAGGATTTATGTTTGTGTAGAATTGCTTTTGTCACTTGAGGATTTATCAGTTAATAAAACAAAATTAATGAGACAAATCACCATACTTACTCATAGCTGACCTCATTGAAACATCAAAGCTGAATGGTCCTGTTTGTCTGGGAAGCACAAGGTACAACAGAGGAAAACCAAAGCAAGTGCATATGTTTCTTGGAATTGAGGAATGTGTCTCATCTTGATTTCTACACTAGCCTACCAGTAGCTCCTCCACAAATGCCATTCAATGGCTTGTTATTTAATTCCTTTACTCTGTATTATACAGACAGGATTTAATGGAAAATAACACATCGTGGTGCTTGGAGTTACTAGCAATGGTGTTATTTGGTGGCAGTTTGGTCAGTGCACTCAGCAGGAGCTACAGAGACATTCTCTCTGAAAGAGTTTTCAACACCAAAAACACCTTGTGTAATCCGTGCTGGGTTACAGTTAAGTTCGTGCTGTCAAGAAAAAATCAGCCTTCATCCTGTGTGAAATCATTTTATTTTTATAATATAATTGACTCTGAAACTGCTACAGATACTCACCTTGCTCCACAAGTCAAGACTTTTTCTGTTTTAATCTTTATTGATGATCTGGATGAGGGGATTGAGCGTACCATTAGTAAATTTGCAGATGACACTAAGCTGGGGGAAAGTGTTGATCAGCTGGAAGGCAGGAGGGCTCTTCAGAGGACCTGGACAAGCTGGAGAGTTGGGTTGGTTCCAGTGGGATGAGGTTCAACAAGGCCAAGTGCTGGGTCCTGCACTTTGGCCACAACAACCCCATGCGGTGCTGCAGGCTGAGGACAGAGTGGCTGGAGAGCAACCAGGCAGAAATGGAGTTGGGAGTTTGGATTGACAGGAAGCTGAACATGAGCCAGCAGTGCGCCCAGGTGGCCAAGAAGGCCAAGGGCATCCTGGCCTGCATCAGGAACAGTGTGGCCAGCAGGACCAGGGAAGTGATTCTTCCCCTGTACTCAGCGCTGGTGAGGCCACACCTGGAGTGCTGTGTCCAGTTCTGGGCCCCTCAGTTCAGGAAGGATATTGAGGTGCTGGAGCAGGTCCAGAGAAGAGCAACAAGGCTGGTGAAGGGACTGGAGCACAAGTCCTGTGAGGAGAGGCTGATGGAGCTGGGGTTGTTTAGCCTGGAGAAGAAAAGGCTCGGGGGAGACCCCCTCACTCTCTACAACTCCCTGAAAGGAGGTTGTAGCCCGGTGGGGATTGGTCTCTTCTCCCAGGCAACTAGCAGTAGGACAAGAAGGCATAGTCTTAAGTTGTGCCAGGGGAAGTTTAGGTTGAATATTAGGAAAAAAGTTTTTACAGAGAGAGTAATCAAGCATTGGAATGGGCTGCCCAGGGAAGTGGTGGATTCACCATCCCTGGAGGTTTTTAAGATGAGAGTGGATGTGGCACTTAGTGCCATGGTCTAGTAACCACAGCAGTGTTGGATCAAGGGTTGGACTTGATGATCTCGGAGGTCTTTTCCAACCTGGTTGATTCTATGATTCTATGATGTTCCGTTGAAAGTTTAGATGGTGTCAGAGTTGGTGGATGACACTTGACCAATGTCAAGCTTTGGATACAGTATTGGGTCAGTTATTCCAACAGTCTCCAGGCAGTTTTGGGTCTATGTGATAGGTTAACAAGATTAGCACCCAGGTCTCTTCCAGAATGATCCCCTTCTAAATTGATGTTAGATGTGGAAACAAAGTGCAGGGAATACGTGTGTATATTATGAATTAAATTAAAGAACTGTGAACAAGAAGGTGCATAATTTATTTCTTAAACATTTTCTACACAGGAAGCAGAAGTCAGAAAACATCTATATTGGAAGAACCTTAGTCAGGAGGAATCTTAGTCAAGTTTGTACTTCATGATGATCTTGAAGTTCTAGGGAAAAGAATTATGTATCAGTGCCGGATGGGGATGTGGATCCTGCCAGCCACATGCAGTTATTTGCTTATGTACCTCAAATACTTAGAGAAGCAGGATACATCTGACACTAACCGTAGCATTTTAGCACAGACATTCCTGAGAGTGTGGCTGGGGGATCATTCTTTCCTGTGCTATGTCCCTCTGTAACATTCACCAACTCACAAGTCTCTGTGTGACTGTGCCGTATGGCTAATGCTGTTTTAAATGCAGATCCTGACATTTAATAAAATTAAACGAGGGTGTCAGTACACAAACAATTTGCAACAAGATTATCCCTAGGGCTCACAACCTTTCAGTAATTGAATGAAATAGCAAACTGCAAACAATAATAAATGTGTGTAGAAGTTTGACAAGGAGACAGCAGATGCAAATAAAATTGAGCGAAGAAGCCCATTGCTGATGAAACACTGCCAGCTGGAGTGAAGCTACCTGCCTCCAGGGAGCTGTTGGAATGTTGATGTATAAATTAATGTGCTGCAGAGAAACAAAAAGAATAGGAACAACAATTAATGAGATACAACAAATACTTGGCATCTGAGTTTTGATCAACTTGAAAGGCAGTTACTTGTTCTTGAGTATGTGAAATTGCCTACAGCATGATTTGGGAATGTTCCCTGAGGTGCACTGCTCCTCTGAATAAAGCTGTCCAGGAAGGAGGGTTTCATTGGTACAATTTCTTTCATGAAAATATACGATATTTGGTCCCATTTGCACAAGCTTCTCAGCTTCAGGGTGGACTTCCTGTTTGTTCACACTAGCCTGCTGTATCTAAGGTACCTCTTGGGTAAGTGCTCAAACTGAAGGTTCCCTACAACCTGCTTTCTGCTCTGGGGCTTTTATAATAATATATAATGGCCAGTCTTCGCGAGCGAAGATTTTGGGAAAGGTCATTAACCCTTCCAGCCTGCGCAGTGGATTTTTTAGGTGAGACACAGCGTGCGCTGAACTGAGCCCACCCTTTAGTCCTGAGGTTCATCTGCCGGGGCCGAGCAAAGCTTGGACAGTGGCAGTGAGGTCCCCAGGATGTAGGTTTGTTTAGAGTGACCTTCTCTTAGGTGGATTGCCTACCAAGGCTGATGAGCTCCACCTGCCCAGGGGGCCGGGAATCGAACCCGGGTCGCAGAGGTGAGAGTCAGGCACTCTAACCACTAGACCACCAGAGGCCCCTTCTGGGGCTTTTACTTGGTTGCAAACTCTGGGGCTTTTACTTGGTTGCAAACTCTACCACTTTTTTTTTTTATAATTATTTTTCTGTGTGTAGGTGACTTTCAGCTGAAACTCTCTCGTGTGTCCCACTACTGGCAGGTAAGGTCTCCTTGCAGTGTAGGAAAATAAACTTTTAACTCTCTTTGATTTGCACACAGCTGTGTCACTGCCTTCACTTTTTCATCTCACATGCTTAGACATTTTTTTCCTCCAACCCCTCTGATAACCAATATATCCTCAGGTGATGCTGGTATGATGGACATGCAGTACCCAAACTGTTTTTGGTTTTAGATAACTTGTTCTAACCACAGCACCATGAATAGTAGAAGGTGAAGAAATAAATGTACATTTTTCTGAACAACTTATCTAGACTTGGTATTTGGAACTTACCTTGCTGATATAAGTGAGAAATCCCTGGAAAACTGATTCCTGCCAAACGAGTAAAAAGTAGTTAAATTTTGCATATATTTCTCAGATTCCTTGGCTACAGAATGGGGAAGAGAATCTTAAACATATTCTCCCTTCTTACAGATGTGGTATAACCTGGTGTGGGAACATCTAGACTCCAAGCTTTACTTTCAAGTAACTAAAAATAGTTGCTAAGGAGGTACAATCCCATCAAAAAAAAGTGAATCTTACCTGCAACAACAGATACGGAGTATCCATGCTTTTGAGTTCAGTGGATTCAAAACAAGAGGTTTGAAATCTCCTCACCAACACTTAGGTGGCCACCTTGGTCTCTGGATTTAGGAGTGTGGGAGGAGAGATCATAAAATCCCTTACACTTTACCTTGCACAAAGCAACAAAGCTAAAAGTAGCTGCCCCGAAAATGCACATCAGTTTTGGGATGAAAAAATTAATTCACCTGGTGTGAACTTCACATGCAGCTTCTGCCTCTTCCTCTTCTTGCTCATTTGAGTTTGTTTTGTCTGTGAACACAGTTTCAGGTTCTAGAGCTACCCCTCCCTGACTCTAAAATCTCTCTGTACATTCCCCAGCCGTCTTCGAATGTGTCTATGAACTGGTCCATGTGATGTCTGCACAAGTCTCGTAAAACTGAAGCTGTGATATTCTTGTTTGAGTCACCCTGTCTCTTCATGTGCTGCTCAGGTCTGCCAGGATTTCTGTCCTCCCTCATGTGAGCTGAGCTGGTGGAAACGTGCCAAGGCCAGGTACTTCAAGCAGAAGAAATTCTCATCATCTATGACCATTTAGGCCTTACTGTGTCTCTTCCAAGGGGAAACAGCATTTGTTTCCTGAGTAGCTCCAGGAGGACTAAATGTCACAGTGAAATATTCTAGTGAGGACTGTGGCAAAAGAACAAAACCAGGATTAAGGGGAGCTTTCAGTAATTATTACATCTCTTTCTGGTTGCTTCAGTGGTATTTCAGTCAACTGCCTAAGGTATCTCAGAAATGACTTTGAAATGCTATTCTAAATGGTGTGGACTATTCCTCATCCAGATGACTGTCTGTGAGCCTGTGTGTTTATGAGGTATAGGAGCATGAGAGAGAGACAGACAAATTCTGCAGGGCTGCTGGGGTTCTGGTGTTCCTTTCTGCATCCCTCAGCTTGCTAGAAAAACTTCTTGCCTATCATTGGAAGATAAATCTCCCTTTTCTTATCCAGGAATACCAGCTTGGCCATCTGGATCTTGCAGCTCGTATCAAGGAAAGTACAGGGGACCTGGACATTTCATAGATGCAAAACCTCGCTTCATATGTTTTCTATGACCTTCAGTAAAGAATGTCTTCTTATCAGGGGAACCTGAAAACGTTCTAGACCTAAGCCAAAGTAAAAGAAAACAAAAAAATGAAGGCATCTGTTATCAGTATTCAGGATAGAGAAATCGTGAATACTTGCAAAAGGCTCAGATGAAGAAAGGAAAAGACAAAGCAGAGTTTACTCTGTCAAATCTATGGAAAAAAAATGTGCTTCCTTGCGCATTCAACTCCTTGCCAGGCATCCACCTGCCAGGGGTTTTACCTTTCTGCATACTTTAGGCCATGAGAAAGGAAAGCAAACCAACCAATCCGACAAACAAACACCAAATCAAACCAAACATAGGTGGAGAATCTTGCTTCCATAATCTTTCTCACCTTTGACAAAAGACAGTTTAAATCTCTTTTTGAATGTAAAAGAATATTGAAAGTAGCAAGATTCAATTCTCACCTGAATAAAAAAGAAAGGAGGACATTTTAGTGTGGGGAGAATTTGGCCTTGACTTTTTGGCAAAAAAAGAATTGGTATTTTACTTTCCTGGAAATATCACTTCTAGATGTCTTGTCACACTTGGTGCTGGATCAGTCAAATAACATCTCCTTGTTTGCTGATGAATACAATTACCCTTTATGAGAAGCATTTCTTTATTTCACTCCTGTATTGGAACTCAGGGGGAGTTAATTCATTTGTCAGTCAACAAAAATATTAAATTATGGATTCAGGCACTGAGAAGCAAAGGCAACAATTTCAACACTCCTCCCCCTTTCCCAGGCTCAGTTTCAACCCAGACACCCTCATCCCCCATGCCTGGGCCCCGCTCCCATCATTTTCCCTGCATGTTAACACTTAAGACTTTTAGCTTAAATTGAAGGAAAGAGGGGTATAATTCTCAGGGTATTTCAGAGTGTGGAGAGAAATGGGTGAAAAAGAGCACAAGCCATTTTCTCTGAACTTCTGCTGTTTATGGGAACAGATATTTCACAGATTCAGAGGTCTGAAACACACTCAGCACTCCTGGGCGTTAGCTGAGGACTACTGTGTGTGCTTCTGTAAGGCCAACACACAAAATTACCATTGTTAAGGTCAGAGCAAGGAAACTGTTTAAGAATTAGGCAAATCTATTGGACAAAATTGTTTTGAAAATAGAAGGTAAACAAAAAAATTAGCAGATAGCACAGCAAATGATGGAAATTGCAATTGTATTACTTTAGGCAAGCTAGAATGCAAGATTGATGTTTTGTTCTGAGATTTAGATCTTAATTGTATTTGTGCAAAACAAAAAATTGCATATTCCATTACAAGGAGAAAGAGGTGGGAATGCTTTGAGAAAGGAGGAGCATAGGCCATTTGTCACGACAAAGCAATGTCTGTGGTTGCTGGGCTCTCACAGATGTCCAGCTTTCTACCACAATGACAGTCTGATTCTAGGTATGAACCCAGTGGAGAGCAATAACCACCCTCAGATAAATGGTGGAAAAAGGAAAATGCTTTCGTAGATGACCTGATGTTTTTGTAGTAAGTGTTTGCCTGACCATGAAAGAATAAGGAAAAAGATGAAAATTCTATAACACCACTTGAAGGAGCTGGGGAAAAAAAGGGATGAACAGTGGAGCTGTTATCCTCCTCTGGTCTGAAATCAACACTACAGGTTTCAAAGTTCAATTTGAAATCACTGGCATTCTGGATAGTTTAATTCTTTTTAATCTGTTTAATTTATTAACATCAATATTTCACTGGAAGCCCAGCACAGGCAAGCATGTGTTCACCTGGGTAGGTCTCATCACAGAACCACAGGAAACGAGGGGGTTCAAACCCGCCTTGTGGAGCATTTGTTTCCAACCTGTCTTCTTCCACACTGCCTGGAAACTGATTTGCGCTGACGGTATGGCTCTAATACTCATCTCATATCTCATCCATAACCTAAACATAAAAATATATTGTATGCACAGTGTTATGAATCTGTTTACAAGGAAACAACACTTTCCTTTAGAACTAAAATCACCGCTAAATGCTTCAGAAAATACTATTACTCATTTGTTGTCTCTTCGGGGAACACATAAAATACCTCCACTACTGAATATATTAGTTCCACTGTACTTATCTGAAAATTATTGCTGTGTTTTGCAATAGTTATAACAGCAGAAGATTGGCTTAGTGATCAATTTCCCATTTACTTGATGTTTACAGTGTTTGAAATGGTTGTTTCACGTGACATGTGTTCTTGATTTTCTAAGGCTTACTTCTTTGTTTCTTTCTGTTTCAATCTTTTTATCTTTTTTTGTTGTTCCTTTCATTGCCATCAAAAATGTTGGGCCTTTGTCCTTTGAACTTACTAAGACAGATGGGCATGTTTTTTTTTTAGGTTGTTAAAATGTTATAATTTTTAATGTTTCACAGAAAGAACTTTCCTATACATGTTTCCTACCCAAGTCTAACTACTAGGTTTAAAACAAAACAAAAACTTTTATCACCAAAAGGCTGTACAGAAAAGAAAAAAAAAAAAAGGCAGGAGTATAGTCAGCCCCTGGTTTGTAATGTTGAAATTTTTGCCTATATGTCACAGAAAATAATATATTCATTTCATTGTCTTGATAAAGGGTGAAAAATTGTTCAAGCTTTTGGGTTTGTCTTTTTTCATCTGCACAGATCCTTCAGCTAACAGTCTGGCATTGAGCTGAAGTGAAAGTTTTACAGCATTGGGAAAATGAATGATCAAAGTAACCATTTTATACTTTAAGGAACTTGTCTCCCATCAGTTTCCAAAATTAACAACAAACAGGTAGCTTGAAGGAAAGTGAATAAAAGCAAAGACATTTCGGATGTTGTTCAGGGCTATGCCCTCATGCTGTCAGAGGGACTGTCAAGGATCTGAATCAAGTGAGAGAAGAGCAAGCAGGAGCAGTGGAGGCTGAATACAGTGAACCACTAAGGAGCTCAGCATGTGCTCCTTCAAAACTGCCATCTCTGGGGGGTGGCCTCCTCCCCACCTGAGAGAACAATCAGTTACAGATGCAATATTAAGAAGTATTTCATAGTGAGAGTGCATCTGTACTGAGGCAACCTCAGAGATCCCCCTTGCCCAAGGCTTGGTGGCACTGTAACGGAATGCTGCTGATGGGTGGCCCTCAAAACTGTACTGCTGGGAGTCCCCGAGGGGATGAGGTGGTGAGAAGCTCTGAGAGATGAGCTGATGGGAGTCCCTGAGGATGCAATGGCCAACAGCACTGAGGGGATGGGGCAGCTGAAGGCACCAGGGCACATGTGATTACAGGGGCCCTTGTGATTTACTGTGACATGGGCACTGCTGATGGCATGGGGCATGGCAGCATGTCACAGTGCCCTTTGTGACCCAGCGTGACATGTGTGCTGGCAGCGATACCCACGGTTCCTGAAGGACATGATAGAACATCATGGAACATGACAGAACATCATGGGATATGACGGAACAGCCTGGGATATGATGAAACAACATGGTATATGATGGAAAAACATGGGACAGAGTGGTGATGTGAGGATCCCTCACACATCTGCCTTGTTCCTTGTTGACCCTCTGTTTTTGCTAGTTACCTCCAGTCCCTGTGTCAGGAACCCTTAAGGCTAGAGAGTGGGATGGCAGCAAGACCTCAGAGTGTGCCCGGACAGGCCGGGGTAAAGAAGGAGGAGGAAGGCCCCGCGGTTGCGCCTTCTCTCCCATCCCTGGGTCAGGAACCCTCAAATCCAGACAGCAGGATGGCAGAGGGACAGTCCAATGTGACTGGACCAGCCAGTCCAGTGAACGAAGAGGAGGAAGGTCCTGGGTCTGCCCCAGAATGGCCACCTCAAAAGATGGAGGAGTTCCAGCCGCTGCGGGCAGGTGAGTAGCAGAGCTGGGACACAGGGCTAGTGGCTGCAGCCAGCCTGGCCCCGTCCCATCCCCTGTAGACATCCCCAGGAAAGGGGAGAAAAAGGGGATAGGACTGATCCACATGGCAGTCGTGATCCATTCATTGATCATCTGGAGGCTGGCTCTGATTGGGGAGCACAGCTTTGGGGAGGCTTGACTATATTTTCCAACCTTTCCCATAGCCCCTCAGTTCTGCTTGCTCTTTGTCAGATCCGGTTGCAGTCCTGACAGAAGAGCAGGAGCTCATCCGTAAGCGTTTCAGCAGTAGAATACAGGTACCTGCCACCATCCCTGCCTGGGCTGGGCATGCTCTTGCTGCTTAGCTGAGCATCGCCATTGAAGGTCTTGATGGGACAACTCTCTCTGCCTGGCCCTTCCTTCTACAGACCTTTTGGAAATTTGTCAAGACCACTGAACGTGAAGAGATGGCCATCACAGCCATCGAGGGCATGGCAAACTCTGACTCCTATAACCCAGAGGCTTGTGCTGCCATGCTGAATTCGCTTGTGCAGAGTGACATTCCCAATTTGAAGCGCGTAAGTAGCCTGTAGCTGAGGCTCAGGCCTCCTGCGGATTGTGTGCCCCCTCAAGTTGGGTCCTCTGGGCACCCACTCAGAATCCTCCCGGGCCATCATGGTGGAGTGGGAATGGAAGCAATTGTCTACAGAAGCTGAGGATATGGCTCATTTGGCAACTCTCTCCCACGTCTCCTCCAGGTGCCAACGATTGTGGCATATATCTACCGGTGGCTCAAGACCAACACAGATCTGTCTGCTGAGCACAGGCTTGACAAGAGCCTTCTGAAGCTGGCACAAGCACACCCCAATGATGTGGTAGTGACCCTCTTGTGCTGTGCCCCTTCATGTGACAGGTATGAGGCCCACCTGCCTTGGGGGCTCAGAGCTCACCAGCCTTTAGAGCCCATCACCCTGTAGAGGCCATCCCATGTGGGCTGCCAGACTGATGGATAGTTCTAGGACCCTCTGCCTGCTCTGTTTCCCAGCTTTGGCATGTCAGCCCCAGAGCCTGCTGCCATGCTTCCTCCCTGCCCCTAAAGGCACTGTCCCTACCCACAAGGGTGGTCTCGCTGGTTGATGCTGGTGAAGGGCTGTGGGCAGAGGCAGGGCTGGCAGCCAGCTTGGACTCTTGTGGCTGCCCAGGCCATGATGCTGTGGCCGAGACTCCACTGACAGAGAGCTCTGGACCTGCAGAGCTGCTGTGTCCATGTGGAAGGTGATGGTGTCCTCGAGCAGGACTGCAGAGGTGGTGCTGTCGGAGCTGCCCTGTGTGCTGGAGGACTGGCCGCTGCACAGCACATGCACCTCCGAGGGGGAGAGCAAGGAAGTCTTTGCCCTGGCTGTGAGTTTCTCACCAGGCCTTTTCTTGCCCCTCTCTGCCCCTCTCTCTTGGGTCTCCACCCTCCCCCACCTCTCTATTTCTCTGCCTCAGGCACTAGGCTGGAAGCCTGGCTTAGGGGCAGGTTCAGGGGCAGTCAGACTGGGTGCTGACCTGGCGCCTCACCTGACCCAGAGTAACGCCTGAGCGTGGTCTCTGGGTGTTTTGTTTTTTGCAGGCAACCAGGGCACTGTGGGAAATCATCCGGGTGCCCCTGTCCCCACAGGCATCATTTGTGGTCCCCTGCCTCTTTGTGGCTCTGCTCGTCCAAGTCTTCTGCAGCACAGAGCAGATGCCAAGTAAGATCAATTTCTTCTGGAGGAGATGCCGGCAGAGGCACCACCATCCTGCCAACCCCAACAGGTGCTCCATTCCAGTCCTTCCGTCCCTCCCATGCTTCTGGGGCTGAGGCCAGGGCTCCCTGCATTATCTGAGCTGTGTTTTACACACAGGTTTGCAGTGCTGACGGTGAAAGCACTGTTGTGTCGCCTGCAGCTTGAGGATGTGGTGCTGGCAGTTGAACGTAAGAAAGGCTGGGACACCCTGCTCAGCACTGACACCCACCGCTATGCAGTGGGTCTGTTGGCCAGGTGAGATCCTCCTTCTCCTGACTACCCCCATCATTTCTTCCCTGCAGACAGGGAGCCTCACGCAGTCCCTGTCATCATGGGTGAGAGGGACTTGTCACCAGGGGATGGCCCAGCAGACAAAAAGGGAGAGGCAAGTGCATAGGAGCAGCCACCTCCCAAAGCATCAGCATTCCCTCCTGTGGGGCCTAGACTGATGGCACAGAACAGGGGGTCTGTGCAAGCAGCCCCACCGAGGGCAGCCTGCAGGTTGCACTGAGGGCCAGTAACAGAGCCTGGGGAACTTTCCTAAGTGTTTTTCCGGTGTCTTTCCCAAAAGCAACCTTCTGGTGTTGGGCACTGCCTTTCTCTTGGCGAGGGATCGTGGGGAAAGACCGGAACTCTGGGAGTCATCCTGGGAGAGATTTGCCCACCCTACTCAGGGTTGACAGTGTCTTCTTCCTGCCAGAGAGATGCATCGTGTCTCCAGGCCCATGCGTGAAGGGATTGCACGCTACCTGCTCACGCTGTTCACCAGGGAGGAGTCGCACTGGAGGGTCCCTGCCATGGCATTCCTTGTTGAGGTGAACCTAGTGGCAAGCGCTGCCTTGCTGAGCTGCCTCCTGCCACTCTACCCTCTCGTAGCCACTGCTGTGGGGGGAGCCCAGTCAGCGGAGCTGGGGCAAAGGAGGGGTTCTGCTGTATGACCTTGGCCCCTTGCTGCTGGGATGACACTTGTCTCTACCTGTATTTCCTGCCAGCCTGGTACCAGCCCTCATTTGAGGTATGGCTCCTCAAGGTAGAGGAATCTGAGGCTGCTGAGGGCGGAAGAGCATAGCAGAGTTGGCAAGAGATTTGCACAGGGCAGGGAGCCCAGGAACTCTGCACAGCCTTTGGGCTGGGCTGCCTGGGGTGCTGCCCATGGCCCATGCCCTATACAATGCTGGGGTTCTGCTGGCCGAGTACTCCATTGTTGTGTGATGCAACCTGTGTCTTTCAGATCCTGAACTGCCTTGAAACAGAGAAATTGGTTGACACCATCCTGCAGCTCATGACAAGTCACCTGCAGAGTGACTGCAAAGAAATGCGTCACCTGGTGCTCAGAGGGCTCCTCATGCTCTGCAAGAATCCCTTGAAGGTGAGAAGGGGGCAGCTGCCTGAAGTTGTGTTGGCAGTGTGGGGCTGGGTGAGGAAGGCTGGGTAATGAAGTATCTTGGACTTGGCTGGGCTTTGGGAGCTTTGGCAGCTGCTCCCAGCAATCCTGCCTCCCCATTCAGCTGCTTGATTCCTTTGAGGCAGGCCTTTGGACTCTGAGGCCGGAGGAAGCAGCGTGGGACTGCACCACCAGAGTGGGTTTGGTGGAGCAGCCTTCCATTGTGTCACAGCACATCATTGTGTTTCACACAGGCCAAAAGGTTGCAGGGCCTTACTAAAAGCCTCATGGAACTACTGAAGGATGTAGATGGGGAGCTGGTTGAGTTGACCCTCCCTGTGCTCAGCAAGGTGCTCCTGGACAGAGATGTTCCGATTGCCACCCCCATCGCTCTGCAGCTGGGTGAGGCACTGCTGCCACTATTTGACAATGTAAGACTCTGCGCCCCCTACCATGGCTGCTGTGTGCTGCCAGGAAATTTTGTGCTATGTGGATTTTCAGGCCCAGGCCCAGGTGGGTCTGGAGCAACCAGTGCTAAGGTCTTGCCCTCCTTCTTTCCACAAGGATGCCAGCCGAGTTCGACTGCTCTCCATTCACCTCTTTGGAGACATGATAGTCTATGTAGAAAAAGAGGGGAAAAGGCACCTGAAGACGTGTGTGCACCAAAGTCTGCTCCCACTCTTCTACCACCTGCATGATGAGAACCAGTGTGTGGCAGAGGTAGGGATTCTGAGCTGCTGATGACTCCATGGGAGGTGGCTCAGCTGCCTCCAGCCCTGGTGACTCATGGACTGCAGCTCTCCAGCCTCCTCCTGGCTCTATGCTGAGGTACCACCTCTCAGTCTCTGCTGTTCTCCAGGCCTCTCTGGAAACCCTGCTACGAGCAACCAAGTTTCTGAAGAAGAGGAGGTTCATGCAACTGCTGGAGAGGGAGCAGCCATGGAGATTCAGCGAGTGTCTAGTAAGGACAGTTCCAAAGCCCCAAACCCAACCTGAACAAGCCCTCTGCCCCTAATACCCAGTGTGTGGGGCTGGCAGCTGTGCTCCTGCCCACTGCTGCACCCATTGCTAGCTGATCAAAAGAAGAGCTGTGCCAACCCTTCCCTGTTTCCCCTTGTGCTCTCTCCAGCTGTCAGAGAGCAGGAGGACAACAGACGAGTACCGACGCCAGTCCCTGACATACTTGGAGAGCTCACAGGAGTCCATGAGAGAGACAGCTATCAGGTTCATCGGTGAGCCACAACCCCGGGGTCCCTCTCTGCCCCACTGCAGCTCAGCCCCAGCCCTGGTTGCTACACTGGCAGCAGGATTCAGCCCAGTGGCTCTGGACCCCCAACTCCAAGTGCAGGGTCATGACCCCTACCACCCTCTCACACCCCTGAGTATCATGATCTGGACTGGTCCTGGGCTCAGCCAGGCCAGAGGAGGAAGGTGTGTGGCCAGGCTGGCAGCACTCATGTCGTGGAGCTGTGCCACTGGGGACATGACAGGCTGTGTGTGTTCCTAGGGCTTGCTGGACAACATATAAGGGGACAGCAGGAAGAGTTCCAGAACATCTGTGATGGTGAGTGAGGGCAGTGGGGTGTCAACTGGGGCTGATCAGGAAGGGGTAAAGAGCCTGGGCAGAGAGCTGCAATCCCTGCCCCAGCTGGGAAGAGCTCTGCTCCCTGTGCAGTTAAGGGATTGAGCAGGGCAGAGCAGAGAGAGATTTCAAGGGCATGTGAGGTATTTGTGGCCAGCATCTTCCAGCTGATCCTATTGGGCCCTACTCCCTCCTGATCATAGAAAGAGCTGAGTGGGATGGTCCTGCCAGAACTCCAGGGGATCTCACAAATCTGGAGGCTGATCTTGGTGCCATTCTTCTGTGTTCCAGCCCTTGTAGGGATGACAAATGACATCAGCCCCTCCATCTCAACCCTGGCCGATCAAACACTGCACATCCTAAGAACTGCACCAAGACATCGGTTGCCCTTCAGATTCCAGTTGCTACAAGATAAGCTCCGCAGGATATGGAGGAGATAGCCTTCTGTCTGGATCATCAGCTTCCTGTGCTTCCCAAGCTCTGATCAGAGCTGATCCTGGGAGCTTCATCTGCTGGGGCCATCTAAGCCTTCTGGGAAGGCCAAGAGGCTCCTGGCGTCTCCTGAACCACAGGACAGCTTTCTTCCACCCTGGCACAGGAATATAAGAAACATGTTATCATATACAGAGGGCCAGGAGCTTTTTATTTTGGTCCCTGGTATCTGCAGGGCAGTGGAGAAGAGGAGAAAAAGGGTCCTTGTACAGCAAGTGACCTAGGCATGCAATATGGTAGGAAAAGTGGCCAGAAGATCCTTTACCCTTTGGTGGTTCAGCTGAAGCTTTAGTGTTTCTAAGAGAGCTGATGGGCAGATCCCAGAGATGTGGGGAATCCCTGAGAAACTTGTCCTTGGAGATGTCCATGAATGGTCTCCCAGCCATGAACTACCGTCTGTGTCCTAACTGGGTATTGCTGGCTGGATTGTTGAGAGGTCTGAGGGGCCATTTCAGCTGGCTCCTGTGGAGCTCCTTCAGGGCTGCACTGCTGCAGGGTGGGTAGACCAGGCATGGGTGGTGGAGAGTGGTATCACTAAGTGGTGCACTTAGTATCACTAAGTGGTGCATTGTGGCATCGCGGGGAAATGGATTGTAGTGCAACATCCCTTCCTGCTTATACTTGGGAACCAGCAGAGTCTGGGCCAGTTCAGCTCAAGCCAGGACTCCTGTCAGGCAGGACTGCTAATGGAAGCAGCTCCTGGTCCTCAGCTCTCCCCAGCCTGCTGCGACAAGCAGGTATCGCCCTAGGACAGGCTGCACCTGCCCTATTTACCAGGACACTTGGAAGGACATGGCTTCTGCTCTGCCCTGTTGACATCAGTTCTGCCTGGGCTGTATCCTGCGATGGGCCAAGGAGAAATCCATTGTTCCCATTCTGCAGAGGAACAATAGAGGCTGTCAGGTTTTCTGAGCAGGATAAACAGGACTATCTACAGTTTGCCATCATCCAAAGAGTTGCAAGATATCAGTACCCTGGCAGGGATTGCTTCCAGCCACCTGACTGAAAACAGCCCCCATTACTCTGTGGTACCCCCTCTGTCTTCTCCACAGGGGACACTGTCCCCAGCTGAGCAGGGGGCTGCAGAGCCATAGCCTGTGGGTGGCCTCCTGCCCGAGATCTGGGCAGAGTTTTAAAAAGGACAGTGTCAGCTCCGGGACCCCATGTGGCCTTGGCTGTGCCAGAGGCTGGAGGGAATACACTATGAGTAGTGGTGGCTGGTAAAGAGTTCACAGAGCAGCATCCTGTGCGACCTCTGTGCCTATGGCCCAGATGCCAAAATCTTAGTTCCAATACTACAGCCTCTCTTCAATGTATATACTGAACCTCTGGTACATGGCCTTGTCAATGTCATTGCTGACCAATAACCACTGGGGTGATCGCGCCAGAGAAGTCACGAGTGAAAGGTTCACCAGACCTTCGTCAGCCTCATAGCTAATCATATGTCAGAAGTTTTTACTATTTAAATAATAAACTGCAATAAAACAACAATTTAAAAAAAAAAGGATATGGAAAGAAATTAAAGCCTTCATAGCTGCTGGCTTTCCTCATGATCCATGGTCTATGGATACACTAATTACATTCTGACACAGTCTTAATTGCACTGCCTTGTTGGAGGCTGACCACAAAGCCTTATATCTTAAATGAGCACTGACTAAAATCAGCTCCACAGAAGCAACTTATGCTGCCCAGGTGTAGAAGAAATACATATTTGCTGCTCGGTGACTGTGTGGCAACAGCTGCTAGTGTCAACTTGTCAGCACTGCTCCATGGATTACTTCTGGCAAGGAACTGTGTGCAACAGCCATAGTATTGTTGCTTCTACCTCCTGTAATTACTCCAATCAAAGGATGGTCAGAGCTTTTAGGCAAAAAAGCACCATGACAGAATATTTGCCAATATTCTCTAAACTACTCCTATAGTTTTGATTTTCTAACTGATTAGGTTCAGTGTCTGGCCTTAAGAAATCAGCCTAAAAAAACTGGCAAACCTCACCTTCCAAGTTAGAGCGTCTGATCTTTCTGCTCCTTTTATGCAGGATGTGCAAACAACTTTTCAATGCATCTGCTAAAAAATCTATTTGTTCTTTCTATACCTACCCCAAACCTGACTCTCCACTCCCTTTATTTTGATTTGAGATCAAAGCACCTTTATTTTCTCAACAGAAAAGAACCAGCTGCAAATACAGTCTATAGGTAGGAACCTTTACTGTAGGCAATAAGCTGTAGTTTGAAATTAAAGGCAAGAAGTGGTGCCCTGGGAAATTGTGAATGTTTAGTGCTGACACGGGAGACTTCTGCAATGCCCCACCAGCCCATGGTTCACATTGCTAAAAACTCTGTATCTGGTGTTACAAAGAGTGTAGAAGAGGGGACTATTAGAAAAAAAAATAGCCAAAACATTAATTTTCTTAGTATGGTGAACAATGAATTTCTAATATTACAGACCTCATAGAAGGGAGTATTCACTTTTCCACTTAATACATGGTGGTTTTACTTTGAAATCAACAAGTCTGTATGAATCAACTTATCAGTACTAATGAATTTGTTCTATAACCTAATTAAAAAGACCTCATTCTCTGATAAAGGCAGGAGACGCTTGCAAGGACAGCAGTCCCTTGATTGCCTTTTCATTTTTCCTTCAGTGGTTATTCTACAGGAAAAGTTTTACAGGTCAGTTTGGATGTGATGAAAATGACAGCACATTTCATATACCTGTTCCAATAGCAGAGCAAAGCCATAAGACTGTACAGCATTTTAAAATACATTTTTAATATATTTTTAAGTCAAGGGCCTGATTTCCAGATGTGCTAAAAATTGGCAGAAAGTGAAACTTCCCCGTTGGAGCAGATGGAAGCTTAGCACTTTTGGAAAGCAGCTCCTGAGGATATAGATGTTGGATTCATGTGCTCCTGAGCAGCTAATAACCACTGAATAGCTCTGTGAGCACATAAAAGAATACACACCTTTAAGAGGTGTTTGCAGGTGGAAATAACCAGGGACTGATGACATGGATTGGAGTTCTCAAGGGCAGAAGTCCAAGGTGTGTAACTTTATACCTTATAATTTTCCTTTTCTCTTTTTTCTTCTTCCTTTTTGTCCTTTTTTTTTTTTTGGTTGTTTGGTTTGGTTTGGTTTTTTGGGGGGGTTGTTTCAGGAAGCCAGTAGTTATTTGGTTACACACATAAAATTCATCAGAGTGGTTTCTGTCAGCTTACTGCTTTCTTTTTTCTCCTTTACTCCTTTGCAAACATTACCACTGACAGCTTTAAATGCTTGGTTTTTGGTAACCATTAAAAATGTGAACTACCTTAAACTATGACACTTCCAAGGCCTCAGCAGAAAGTCATCATCTCCAAGGCAATTGTTTGTTTACAATTATGTTTTGTTGCTTCTTTTTTAGAGGTTATTTAAAATCTGTTTTGAAAAAACCCTGAACATATATGATGGGTTTCTAGATTGTGTCATTTTTGTCATGGATTTTGCTTTTATTTCAAAACCAATGTAGGAAAAATATATATCAGCATCTTCCACTGTAATTTTCCCTCTGCAGAGCATCTTGAAGTCTTTAAAGACAATAGCTTTCTTTTTTTTTTAATCTCATGGAGAGATTTGTTGGTTCAATTCTTTTCCTCAGTCCGAGCTTATGTTATCGCTATCACCTTGCAGCCATGATGAAAAACATGTACACAACATTATTATTTGTGTTTTGTCAGCAAGCTGATTATCTAGCGATATCTTTAGATGCCTTTTTTTAGGGATAAATCTAGCTGAATCACACTTCATTCTTGTGATAATGACAGGAATATTGCACAAAAGCCTCACATTTTTCTACTGCTTTTCCTGGTGGTTGTAGAGAAGATTTTTAGCTCAGCATTATCAAGTCCATTTCTAATATATTCCGGCTTTGTATCCACTGGTAGCTCTCTCCCATTTGAGAAATACTGAGACAAATATATTTTTTCTATGTAAAGGTGATATCGATTGGCTGGTCTCAGGAATATTACAAACACTAGTTCTGAAATACGCATAAAAGGCACAAGTTATTTTCTCAAAGCTTCCTTCACCTTTGCTTCTGTAGAAATTGCTGTGATTATTTTATATGAATTTTGATTCCTTAATTTAAGCGAGGTTTATGTTTATACATCTGCAGATCCGCACTCATTTTGATGTCTGGTTGTCCTACTAGGCAGTTCAGCACTCTTAGAAGGCCACAGCTTTTTATGGCATGAAGTTCTGGAGGAAGCATGCTTGTAGGAAAAATGGATGTGAGAAGATACAGGTAAGTATATGACATTCTCCCTCACCATCAACAGACTTGAAAAAAACCAACTTGGAAAGAGTTCCACCTCAACTTTTTAAGTTTTCATACTTTTGATTGTGTAGTTGTCAGTGAATTGTATTTTTAATTGTATTGTTTTTCCTTGTCAGTTCTCAACAGACTCCTCGTACTTAAAGGAGGCTTTTATATTGTCCATGAAATGTGTGGATCTAGCCATAGATATCAAGATTTTCCATTGCTTCAGCTTATTAAAAGCATTAGGAGTCCTTGTTGTGTTAATTAAATGTAAACTGAGATGTGGAACAAGTAATAGGAAAACCAAAGCTATATATCCTAGTATTTCTGTATCTGCCTGGTACAGAAATTCTTAACTGTTACTGTGTGAGATTATTTTCCTTTGGGAAGAGGAGCTGTCAGATCTATGACACTTGTAGCTCTAGGGGGTGGTTGGATAAATAAACCAGAAAAAACAGGAACATGATCAAAATTTAAAGTATATTCTAATGTTTTCAATTTTTACTGCAAAAGTACAGGGTTTCTGTCTGCTACTGGTGGTCAGCTACCAGTGCAAGTGGATCCTGGGTTTTCAGGTTGCCTGTGAGTTTTAGTGCTGTTAGCCAAGGGACTGACGCCTGACCACAGCACATGTGTATTTTGGAAAAGACCCAGAACTGATGGGAATGAAGAGGTTCTCAAAGGATTTCATGTCTGACATGAGACAATATCAAACTTCACTGAAACGAAAGGAAACTTGATCTCTAACCTGAAGTATTTGATGCTAAGCTAGTTCAGAGATCTTGTATGAGAAGCAAGGGTTTGGTGAGTTTTCCTTCCTCATGTGAGAATTCAGA